TGTTATATTGGTCGGGTCTCCTTGTTTTAAAAATCGGAATTACTTTTGCTATTTTCAGAGAGTCTGGGAAAAAACCTTGTTTAATGGATGATTTAAAGATTTTGTAAAGAATATCCTTCATGACATCAAAAGAGTCTATTACAATATTTCCATTTATACCGTCAGGTCCTACTGATTTATTTCTTTTTAACGATCTAAAAGCTGTATCAAATTCCTCAAGCGTTAGGTTTGTAAAATGTAAGGAGTTTGACGTTCATCTGTTCATTTATAATTTAATAAAGGGATTTTGTTTGATAAATTTGTTCCTATAGTGGAAAAAAATTTGTTAAATTTAGTCGCAATTTCATTACAATCATTAGTTATTTTATTTCCCACTTTTATTGCAAGTGGAAAAGAAGTTGAAATTTTTGCTTTCCTGTAATTTCTTTCATTAATTCTCAAATGCGTTTTAAGTTATGTTTGTGCTGAGTAAGCAATTTAAAATAATAATTTTTTTTTAGCATTTTTGCGGAGTTTTTTAAACAGTTTTTTGTAGTTTTTGTAACTTTGTTGATGTTTTTCAGATTTTGTTTTTAAGTATTTATTATACAATTTTTCTTTTAGTTTTGAAGACTTTTTTAGTCCCTTAGTTATCCAAGGAGATAATATGTCTTTGGCCTTGAGATTTATTTCACATATTGGAAAATTAGCGTCATAGATTTTAAAAAAAGATTTAAAAAATGTGTTATAGATAATGTTTATGTTATCATTAGAGTTTATGTGATTCTAGTCCTGCTGTGAAATTTGATCTTTGAATGATTTTAAGTTACAATTGTTCACAATTCGCTTTTTTGTTGTCGTTTTATCCTCGTTTTTTATTTGATGTTCTGATTTCATAGAAAAAAATACGGGAAAATTAATTAAAACATCAGTTTTTATAATTCCTTTTTTTAGAGATTTATTAAAACAGTCTGCGGTTAATATATTATCAATTAAAGTTGACGAATGGTTTGTAATTCTAGTCGGTCTATCTATTATTGGTATGGTTCTCATTTCAAATAAATTGTTATAAAATGTTTTTATGCTTTGGTTTTCTTTATATTCAAAACAATCCAAATTAAAGTCACTTAAAATATAACTTTTTTTTTTTTCTTGACTAGTTTTTTCTATTAGATTGTATTTCAAAAATTTACCAAGATTTTCTGTTCTACCAGTTGGTGGCCTATAGCAACAGCTGATTAAAATGTTTTTAGAATTTTGTTTATTACTTCAATTGTTAAGATCTCTTGGTTCGTATCAGAAACACTCATATCGCTTCTAACTTTATAGAAAATATTTTCTTTCAAATAAAAAAGTATTCCTCCTCCTCGCCTATTATTCTTTCGTTCTAACAAAATTTCTTTAAAACCTGGGAGAAGGAGATTAGAATTTGATTCAAAATCTATTTTAGAACACCAAGTGACACAAATTACGTTAAAACAATTGTTCGTTTTTTACTTACACGAATGACATTAAAATAATCACTTTTATTATCCATTACAGTCATTACATTACATTACATTACGATATACAGTCGAACTTCGGATAAACTCTAACTACAGAAACTTTAATAAAAGGTTTTAATTTATTATTTGGATATATTTTTTTTTTGGATAAAAAAAAGAGTACTAATTAAATAAAACGTGGTTGCAATATTATACTAAATTTTAGTATAATATTGCAATCAAGTTAAATTTCAATTGGAAATCTATCATTATAAAATAAAGAAATAATCGATCAAAAAAATGTTTTAATAGAATAAAACTTCTATACTTCATAATATAAATATAAAAATAATTAAAACAGACAGGGGTTCAAAAAAGATGAAGATGGACGTCAGCGCAATTATTTCATAGAACCCCTCTAACAACATTTTAAAAGAATTACGTAATGTCATTATATACACAACTAATAAGTTTATGTGCACTAATAAGTTTATTACGCAACAAACAAAAAGAAAAAGTGTAACAAGAACAAATTTAAGGACAATTATTCAGAATAAATTTAACTAGGTTTCTCAAATTTAATTTTTTTTTTTTTTTTTTTTTTTTTTTTTTTTTTTGTAAATTTAATGAGCTTAATGAATTTACCATACTCTTGAATCCTTTTTGAGCAGCCGTAGTTAGCCCGTTTGCTTCGGAAACTAGAGATTCCTGGTTTAACGCTACCTCTCGAAGAGTATTATAACATCGGTAAGGAAGGAGGAGTGAACTTCCTTTCAAACGCTCTTCCGTGGTGCTCTGTGATAAGACCGTAAAGACTTCTTGAGGCATCTAAAAAAAAAGAAAGGTATTTCATACTTTTGGTCCTCTATTTAAAATGCTATATTTTAAATATTTGTTTATTATCCGAGGCAGTTTATATGTGTTTATCATATTCGCTCTTACATAATAGTTTTCAATTTTATTCATTTCAAACTTGTTATTAAAGCTTGCAGGAGAGATAATGCTTTTGTAACGATACATGAAAATTAAACGCTGATAGATATTTATTTAAAAAGCATTCGCCATTTTCATTTCTTTCATTAAGGTTTTAGCGCGTTCGCGTCTAATCTTTAGAGCAAATGGTTCTGCATGTTTTTGTAAACTTAAAAGTTTCTTAAGTCTTGATGTTTCAGCCAATGAAACTTTTGCATATTTAATGAAGTTATGAATGAGCCAAAATATTTAGGACTTTGTGTAGAGCAAACTTGACACATCAAACCTATGGTTATTGTGGTTGACGATTGGATGTATTTTAAATGAGGAAATTATTCGTAAACATACGCGTGATAAATTAGATATTTAGAGATTTAGCAACAAAATGCAGACATCGTTTGACAACCGCGTTGTGAAACCAACTCGTCGTCTAAATATGACTGTTTTGCGTTTGTTGTGCAACACGCGCTTAAAAAATAGTAAACAATTATGGCAACTAGGCACAAACTTTGTCATGTTATTTTTAAACATACTTACGCTCATGCTAAAAGGAAAAAAGGTCAAATATTACATAGTGGAGCGTGGACGACAATAACGAAAGTTCTAATTATTGACAATTATTCAAAACCATTTTAGTAAGTTGTTGTTATTGACTACCAAAGAGCGTGAGCCCAAAATTAGACATTTTAAAAATCAAATAACTTTGACGTCTGTGACGTCAAATTTATTTAGTTAAAAATTTTATGATCAGTTCCAATAATTTAAAGAATGGCTCTGGTTTACCATTAAGTTTATCATTAAGTTTTTTTTCAATGCAGGAGTAATAACTAGTTTTTAAACAGTCTTAGACTGATTTTTTCAAAATTATGCAATCTAATTTTTTTGGTTTGACTTAAGCATAACTTAAAAGTTTGAGTTAAGTAACAAAAATATTAAAAAATGGCCAAAATTATCCGATCCAATGTCCGAATTTAGGACATTTAATTTTTTGTTACATTAGTTGAAAGATTTACAACAGCTCCTGTTTTGAAGTGTGTGTCATTTAAACTTTATAGTTCTCATTACATAAAGGACTTTTAAGTTTGCCTTCGTTTAAAGTTATTTAAAATTTGTATAACCGTGTTGTCACCGGACCTAAAAAAGACGTCTTTTGAACTTTCCAAAGACGTTTAAAAGACGTCTTATTTACATCCGTGCCCACTGAGAATAGTCATGAAGTTGTTTACTGTTTCGTTTTTTACTTGCCAAATAAGTTTAGATTTATTTTTGAATTTATCTCGTAGTCTTAAGTATTTTTTTTCAAACAATTTGTGAATACGTACAGGTTGTTTCTCAAACTACTGGATAAAAGATACGGATCAAAAGCCTTTTTGGTAAAATCTTGACACCTGGGTTTAGTAAACACTTGCTTCTAACTGAAGTTTTTAAATTTTTTATGTTTATATTTGCCTTTAGTGAGTAAATATTATAGATCCAATTACATTACAGATATATTCTGCAGGACTTCGTGTGATCTTAGCATGGGTCATGAGCCCTTTACAATATTAGCTATAATAAAAGATAACTATCACAAACAAATAAAGAGATATAATATAAACATCTAAGTAACGCAAACCTTAAGTTTCTTTATTTATACTGCTTTATATCTATATATTGCAAGGGTGAACCCAGAGCATCTAATAAGAGGGTAAGTGATTTTCAGATTTTTACTAGATTTGGTGGATCCAAACCATCTATCAAGAAAGGTTGGAACAATTTTTAGGTTTAATAATTAGTTAGCAAGTAAACCAACAAATCATAAAACTTTTTTAGTTAACTTTTCTTAGAATATTTGTCTTCATTTATGTAACCATGAAGTTGCATCATATATTACTATTCCAACAGTCAGATTTAAAAATTGTTACTCAATTTTATTAAAAAATCATACAATTTTTAAAAACCTTCGTAATTTATTTCCGTTTTAAAACAATATGCTGTGTTAAATATATAAGTTTAAAAAAAAATGCTTTCCAAAATATCTAAGGAGGGGCAATCGCCTCCATCGCCTTCCCCCCCCCCCCTCCTCTATGAATCCGCCCTTGATATATTGCTAAGAATATGTTGAAAATTTTTTTAATATACCACGTATACCACTCTAAATACTGAACGTATTTAGAGTGGTATACGAAACGAGAAATGTGATATTTTTTTTGATCGATTAAGTAGAGCCAAAATGAGCATAAGTTTGTTTTATATCAATTGGTTAGGTTCTAAACAATTTATAGATTTTTTTTTCTATCATAGAATGGATTTGTTCTTATTTTAATAACAAATCTATTTTAATCACGTTAAATTTTTAAATAATCTTCAATTTATTGATCGCGATATAATTTTTATTACGCTATCAGTTAATCTCGTTCCTTAAGTTAATTTCACTCCTAGTTCATGTTATAAGTGCATTTTTACTTATTGTTAATTGCTATTTGACTTTTGTTACTTTCGGTATTGTTTATTGCTCTGTTTGAAGTTAGTTACTTGCTTCACTGAACTCATAAAGAAAGATTTTTAATTTTTTTGTAAAGTCTTTTTTTTGTATTGTAAAAAGTAAAAATAAAATTAAAATTTAAAATTAATGAAATTTAAGTTTAAAAATTTCGAACTTTAAAGACTAAAAAATGAAATTTTTAAAGAGTATTACAAATTTTATATTTCGATTGCTGTTTGCAACGACAGTATGTTATTCTTTTGATTTAATTGACGATATGTCAATTTTGCTGGAAGGCCAAAAAGAAGAAGAAATAACGTCAAGTCACAAAACCGACAGTTTAAGTATGTTAATACTGATAACTCTGCTTATTGCGACAGTTCTTGTAATATGGTTGTTTAAGATCCGAAAGTTTAGTGTCTTTCATGAGACGGGTGTAGCAATGCTGTTTGGTATAGCTGTTGGAGGAATAATAAGATACGCGGAGGATTCTGACGGTATTGAAAAGGCAGTACATATCGGAAGCTCAGAAAATCTAACCACTGCTCCAAGAAACTTATTGATGAACATAAATGGAACGGACTACTCTTATGTTTTAAACGGTATTGTACAGCACTTTACCGGAAGAAACGAAGGAAATGAACTTGAAGACAAATCTTCTTTTAATCCAGAAATTTTTTTTTATGTACTGTTGCCACCTATAATTTTTTATGGGGGTTATTGCTTAAAAAGAAGATACTTTTTTCGTAATCTTGGAGCAATATGCATGTACGCTTTTGTTGGAACATCTATTTCATGCGTAGTTGTTGGCGTAATGACATATACGTTTAACAGAATGACAGGAGTAACTTCTACATTTGATTTTACAGAATGTTTATTGTTTGGGGCAATGATTTCAGCAACAGATCCAGTTACGGTTTTAGCAATTTTTCATGACATGCATGTTGATGTAGATTTATTCGCATTCGTATTTGGAGAAAGTGTATTAAATGATGCTGTTGCAATAGTATTATATCGTGCAATTGAAGCCTATTTAGCGTATAACCCATATGAAGCACGACAATTTAATGCGTACTCGTTTTTATCTGCAATGGGAGATTTTGTTTCAATTTTTGTTGGATCTTTATTTATAGGGATATCAATGGCTTGCGTAACTGCTTTGCTGACAAAACTTACAAAAATAGGAATGTTTCCTATACTAGAAACAGCTCTATTTTTCTTGATGTCTTACTCTACATATTTAGCAGCAGAAGTTGCAAACTGGTCAGGTATTGTTGCAGTTTTATTTTGTGGGATTGCTCAAAAACACTACACATATAAAAATTTGACTCCAGAATCGGCGATTCGAACAACACAAATGTTTGAGTTGCTAAACTTTCTGGCGGAAAACTTTATTTTTTCTTATATAGGGCTGTCGTTCTTTTTATTTAATTACCATCAATGGAATTTCGGTTTTATTGGAGTTGCGTTTCTAGCAACACAAGTTGGTCGAATACTTAACGTCTATCCATTGACTTTAATTTTGAACTGCGGACGTATAAGAAAAATCTCTTGTAAACACCAAAATATGATGGCTTTTGCCGGACTTAGAGGAGCCGTTGCGTTTTCATTAGCTATTAGAAATACAGTATCCGTTCCAAGACAGATGATGCTTACTGCAACGTTATCAATAGTTTTAATCTCTGTTATTTTATTTGGTGGTTTAACGTATCCATTCGCAAAGCTTATTGACCTCGAGACCGGAGTCGATGAAATTGAAGAAGAGTTCAAAGCAAAAAGATTAAGCTTAATAGACATTAATGATCCTTCTAGTAGCACTCCGGAAGATCGAGCAGAAAAAAAAAGGTACGAAAAATCCTGGATAGTTAGAACATATAGTGCTTTTGATAATAAATACTTAATGCCGATACTAACTGACGAATATGCCGAATAAAAACATTCCGACTGACAAATATGCCGAATGAAAACATTCTGGATCAAATATATTCCTTATCAAATGGTTGGTTTAAAAGCACCAACGAGTTCTCTTACTTTCTTTTCAGAAAAAAAAGAAGCACTAATAACTATAATACTCACATTGCAAATAACGCGATAGTCTAAATCTATTTTAGGATTTACTAATAGCTGTTTAATCATGAATATTTGATTTTAGCATATATTAAGTGCATACCGCACATATGCTACTCCATATGATATACAATTACTTTGAGGAAACGACTCAAAAAGCTAGACCATAAAAGGGTCCTAACATGTTGGAAATTCAACATATGAATAATAAAAATATATATTATATCTTACAAATATAGTGTTATATATGTTATATGTTTTATTTAAAGAGTATACTCTATTAAACTAATATTCTAGTTAATGTCATAATAGAAATACAGTTTTGTAAAATATGAATATATATTTTGTATTTATATATATATATATATATATATATATGTATATATATATATATATATATATATATATATATATATATATATATATATATATATATATATATATATATATATATATATATAAACTAGGGAAAGAACAAAAAATCTTTTTAGGACATTTATACTTTTTTTTTAGAAAACCAAAAGTCACAAATACTATTACAAACATACTACTAAAAATATTTTTACTTCAAAAAACAATTCAAAAAATATTTAAAATTGATAAATTTTAGAAACTCAAAATAAGTTTTAATAATATGCTCCTTGAGTAAGAGATCGCACTCTTAGAAATTCACAGTTAACCTTATCTGATTGGTTAATATTATTTAATGAAAGCATTGTATAAAACTTTTACAAAGATTATTAGGTGTTTTTAAATGGCCAAGTTTATGCTGTTTAATAAAACTCCTGTCCAACTTAGTAAACTTTATTTGGTCATCACTTTAAGATGTAAAACGTTTTTTTATGAAATGCAAATTGTATTGATTTAATTTATATGAAAAGTTATTTTTAAAAAACCTAAATCTACCCCCCCCCCCCACCTCGTATGAAAAGGTAAGGGGTAAGCAGAAATCAAATGATGTTTTTGTTCCCAACCTTTAATTAGAGTAACTTTTTTAAAATAATAATAAACCCGAATGGACACTAGTATAAAGTTACAAAAAACATAAAGTATAGAAGTTTAACACTTTCTATGAGTGTGAGCAATTTCTTGTCAGCAAACTTAAACAATAAGTTTGAAATAAATCTAAATGAAAAGTATAATCTAAGATCAGATAGAACCAACAACTGTAAATTGCCTCGAAAATGTAATATATTCTCATAATTTTGTATATTTTATCAAGGTCCTAAACTATGGAATGACTGTTAAAAGGAATATAGTTTATGATGAAGTCTTTAAAATCATTTAAGTTTTAAACAAAAAAAGGAGACTTGTACAAAAAAAAAGAAATTTTTATAGAACTTAAATCACAATTAAATTCACAAATTGCAATTAAAAGCGCAAAAGAGAACTGTAACGTCATTGGCCATGACTATTACAAAAGTTCAAATCTTTAAATATTTATCAATGTAACATATTTTATTCAAATTACTAATTAAGTCCATCAGTCAAAAACATTGTTCTGTGAAACTGGTCAATATAAAAAATATAAAGCCATTGAAATTCACGGTTTTAGAGTTGCAGAGTTAAGCATAACTGGTGATGACGTTTATCTGAAGGGATAAACTAGTGATTAGTGCTAATCTGAAGCCATTTTTCAAAACACCTTAAGGTAAAAAAATTAAATTTGACTTTTTTACAAAATAAACTGATTTAGTTTCATTTTAAACGCTTTACAAAGAGTTTCTTCTAGTAATTTTTTTTTTAATTGCGTTTTTCTTGAAATACGTAAAAATGCTTTTTTATCGAAATACGTATAAGGCGTTTTAAAAAACGAGTGAAGTGACACTCGTTTTTTAAAACGCAGTGATATTTTTTTCCATTCTTTGGCATTGTATTATTGTATGCATGCTTTTTATTTTGCAATCAAAATTTTAATGTTTTGGTAATTTGTATGTTTTGGTTGGTGATGTATTTGTTGTATACCTTTGTTTATTATAAGTGTTTATAAAATGTTTTTTTTTTTAAATAATTATAAGTTTTGTTTGGGTGCACTTATTTTGTCTGTCTTACTTTTGTCTTCGTAATAGTATAATTTAAAATACTTTTTAATTAATCTTTTTTTGTCTTGACAACTGTCTAGATATGCTTTGTTCAAAAAAATAATTCACTAATAGTCCAGTGCACTTTTATTTTCCTTCAGGAGTTCACTGCTACGAGTGATTGTTCGGTAAATTTATATTCCAAAGTTTTATTAGTTTTATTTACCATTTAAGTTAAAAATATTGACTTTTTCCGAAAATCTTGTCAAAATAAAAAGTATAGAGCTATTAGATTTCTAGATTATAAAGATCAGTACCAGTAAAAATTTGATTCTAAAAAAACTTTAACTGAAACTTTTTATAGACGGAATGTGATAGAGATATAAGTCCTATCAACTGTAAATCTTAAATCAATAAACTATTTATGCTTGCAAAATACAAACTCTATTTCATTTATTTGAACCCATAAGAGAACATAATCTGAAACCTGACTCTTGAATCCTCTCTAGAAAGCTGTGTGTCTTGTTGCTAAAAACTTTATCGAGAAGTGATTTATTCTGCTAACTCTTCTAGAATAGTATTTCATAAAGATTTTTGGAATAGCGTATAAATTTATACGTTTGTTTGTAGATAAGTAAGAAGTAAATAAAGACTGCATTTATAAGAAAACCTTTTAAACCGAGAGAATATCAATGACTAAATTTAAAATTATTCAGGTTGTTAAAAAGTTTAAAAACAAACCTGGTTGTTTTGATTCAAAACTACACAATGGCTAAAAAGAAGAACAGAGTGATGTAATAAAAACAAACAGATTGGTATAATAAAGACAAACAGAGTGGTATATTAGAGCATATATTTACAAAAAACCGGCTCAACTGGTTCGATATCGAACTAATTTGCTGACGGCTTAATAAGTCGTCATAATATGTTCCACATAATGTGGAACTTTCCACATAGCCCCATTGCCAGTCAGCTCCTGCATTGTCTACGGTGTGTAAACCATACGGTTATCGTTAAACCACACGGTTATCGTTAAAAATTTCCATATTTCTTGAAAAGAAGAGTAAAAGAAAAAATAAAAATGCCAAAAACTGTTTTTGTTATGACTTTCTCACTAAGTATGATCGAAAAATAGCGATAAAACGTTATAAAACGTTTAACAATCGAAACAGCTTAGATAATAAAACGCGTATTCTTTAAACCGTTTTGTTTTTGGTATTATCTTAGTAAAATAGATAAACGCAAAATTATATTTAAAAAGTCATTTAGTAATCAAGTTAATATTGAAAAACGGCTTTGAATACCTCAAAAATAAATAAAGACTTTCTTCTTTATGTTAAATATTTATGCTTAACTATACACCAAGATTTAATGTATTTTCACCGACTCACGTAAAGTGAGGTGAGCATACACTTACTAGTTTGCAGGGAGACAAACTTTTATCTAACATATTAATAATTTACAAAAGTAAAAGAAAATATCCAAAAATAAAATCTTAATTCGTTATTCCATTTTTCTAAGCTTATAAAAAATTTACCATATAGTGATTTTTTTAAGTTTAGTTTTTTTAAAAATTTACCATATACCTGATTTTTTTTCTTAGCTTTTAAAATTTTGTCAAAAGTTAAAACATAGCACAGATAAATTAAAAAACGGAGAAGTATTAAGCAATTATAAAGTTTACTTTTTTTATCTCATATTTACAATCTCTTTAAAATTAAATTCAATTTAGATAAGTAATAAAAAATTATAACTTAATAAGAATATTGCAACAACAACACTAAAGTTTTCGTAATGTCACATGATTGCCTTAATCATGTGATAGCTATTCTAAATCACGGTCACTTTTAAAACATACTTAATCATTGGTGACCTAAATAATATACAAAATGTTTTAATAAAAGAAAAAAAAACACAAAACAAACAAAAAACCTGTTTAAAATATGTTCATTAATATTGATTTTTTAACCTTTTCTAGAGCTTAGTTTAATATATGCATGTATAAAGAACTTTTTGAGTTCAAAGATGTTCTGCGATAAGAAATAATCGTTTTAGCTAATGATTAATTAAAAATTCTTTTGACTAATGAAAAGAACTTTGTGTTGTGCAATGCATAAATGATATAAAAACAAATTATACAGATGTAGAAAACGAATTTAAGGCATATAAGAAAGAGCACTTTTTAGCAGTTACAAGAGTTACTATCTGGTTTACTGGGCTGATGTTTTCGGAGAGTAGCGTTGCCGTATTGAATGCCAGATCCCATTCGTTCTGGATCCAGGTCTCCTAAATTTATCAACAAAAATTTTTAAAAATATAAAAGACAACAAAAATTATTTTTTTTTTCACTGTATTCACAACCCTGAGCCCCTGGGACCCACTATAGTCGAGGAGGCTCATTTTTTTTATTTTTTTTAACTGTTGCTAAAAACCTGTCTCTGGCATCTAACTCCAAAACACGAACCTTGACAATTAAAGAAAAAATTAAAAGCAAAAAAGATAAGCAACAAATTAGGCGTGGTACTTCCAAGGGCGTAGTGGGTTTTTGACAAAACGTTCTACTATCACACCACTACAACATATAATAAAATAAACGCATAAAAATAACAATTTAAATTATAAGACAAATAACCAAGGACAAGATACCTGCGTCGATTTTAGTCAGAATCGATCTAGAACATTTTAAAAATGCTTCTTCTACATTTTCTCCAGTGGCCGCACTTGTTTCCAAAAACATTAGCTCTAATAAAAATATATTATTTGTATTATTAATAATAATAATAATAGATACATATATAATAATACAAAAAATTTCTCTTTTGAACAACCATTAGGGAATTTACCGTTCTCTTGTGCAAACCGACTCGCTTCCAAAAAAGTCACTTCTCTATCAGCTTCTAAATCCTTTTTATTTCCCAGTAAAATAATAACAATATTAGGACTTGCAAGCGTTCTTGCATCGGTTAGCCATGTGGTGAGCGTGTTGTATGTCTCACGGCTACAAACGGACATAAATTCAAATGAGTGTTTTAAGTTTTTCTTATACTTTTTAAATTTACTACTTTTGTAGAATCTTTATTTTGAGAAACTTTTAAAACTGCTAAAAAACTTGCTTTAAAATTAAATCTCAAAAAACCCTATTGACGAATAGAAATGTACCTTGTGATATCATAAACAAGTAGAGCACCAGCAGCCCCTCTATAGTAACTGCGAGTAACTGATCTAATTATAAAATAAAAAAAATAATGAAAAAAATTAACTAATATGAACTTATTGGTATAATGGGTAATAAATATTTTTGTGTCATAAAATAACAAAATTAGCAAATTGTTTATTTAAATAGATTACACCAAAAACTAATTTATTTATACAAAAAAAAAAAAATCTCCGGTGAAGAAATGACATACATACATACTGACATACATGACAGAACTGACATACTGACAGAAACTGACATTGTTTATTTTCGTCCCGTAAGTACACACCTACAAATGTTAGTACACACTTACAAATGTAAGTACACACTTACAAATGTAAGTACACACTTATAAAAGTAAGCACACACTTATAAAAGAAAATGAGTACACACTTATAAAAAAAAGTAAGTACACACTTACAAAAGTATGTAAGTACACACTTACAAAAGTAAGTACACACTACAAAAGTAAATAAACACAAACTTACAAAAGTATATAAATACAAACTTAAAAAAGTAAATAGGTTTTTACACACTTGAAAAAGTAAATAAGTACACACTTATAAAAGTAATTAAGTACACACTTACAAAAGTAAGTACGCACTTACAAAAGTAAGTACACTCATACAAAAGTAAATAAATACAAACTTACAAAAGTAAGTAACTACTTACACACTTACAAAAGTAAATGTAGTGTAATGGTAGAACACTCGCTTTATAAGCGAAAGGTTCCGAGTTTGATTCCCACCATGTCCCTGGTAGTACCGTGCTCAACCTGTTTCTCCGCGCAGAGGCCTTGTTCATTAAGGTTAGTGTTTCAGAGTTATAGAGTTGAGAGAGGGTTATAATCACTAGTAGCTTCCTCATCTGTAGCGGCCTTCTCGACTTTGGGGAGGTGAATTACAACAAAAAAAAAAATCACTTACAAACTTAAGTGCACACAATTTTTATCTAGAATTTTTATCTAGAAAATCAATTGATTTTCTTAAAAACCAAAAGGTTTTCATGACATACCTAGAAAACCATTCGGTTTTTTGATAAAATAAAAATGTTTTATATTTACATCAAATCAAATTACAAAAAAACTATAATTGTTTTAGAAAAGTAATGATTTTTTTCCCCATTTTGTTTTCCAGAGTTCATTGATAATTTTTGAATATGATCATGTTTTTTTCACTAGAACAAGAATTGTAGATCTGACAAAAAAACAGTACAAAAAAGTTAAAAGAAGCAATGGAGTAATTTTATTTAGACTTTTAAATAAAAGTTAATAGGGTTGCGCCATTTTTTAAAACAAACTTGTTAGATATATTTTTGATTAATTTAAAAATAACCATTTGTTTTTGATCTATTCAAAATAATTTAACTGCACAAATTAAAAAAACTTTGACCAGTGGTAATAAAAGTAAAAATCTGTGAAACAGGCTAACACCAGGAAAAGCATCCATTTGTAAAAAATTAGTTCAATTTTTCTGTTGAAAAAAAAAAAAAAAAAAGATAATTATGTAAAAAAATACTTCACAATTTTAAGATTTAATGAGACTTAATTGCTTGAAATTGCTTGAAATATTCATATGGAAAATATGGATTTATATAATATTTATATGGAAAAGACTTCTCTTGTGCTCTGTATGTGATTCAGTATTAAATATAACAGTGATACAATTACAATGTATATTTATATGAGTTTCTATTTTTTTTAAACATAAAAATAAAATTAACCCTAATTTTTTAACCTAAATCTTTCTTGGCCAGCAGTATCCCAAATCTGTAGTTTAACACTTTTACCACCAATATTGACAATCTTTGAACCAAATTCTACTCCAATTGTATGATGTGCATCTTGTTTAACTAAAATATTTTAAAAATTGTTACCTATAAATCAGATTTTAAGTTACCAGGGTTTCTGGTTGTTCCTGGTTAACACCCTGGTTACCTATACATCAGATTTTAAGTTACCAGGGTTTCTGGTTGTTCCTGGTTAACACCCTGGTTACCTATACATCAGATTTAAATTAGTAGGATAAAGATTAAATAGAAATTAATTTGATGAAAATTATATAGAATAACAATGTAGTAATGTTATTATGAATGTAACCATGTGTTTATTTTGCTTCCGGTTTTTTTAAATATAAATTTTTTATTTTCTTGATATTTGATACAATCATCTTTTGTCTAAATGAATAAAAACATGCTAATATTTAATTTTGATTTCTTGAATATTCACAACTTTTTAAATAACAATTTTTTTGTATTTTTAAAAAGTCAGCCAGTAATAAACTAAACACATTTAATACTGCAAGAATAAAAAATGTGTAATAGTTAATTTTTTTACCAGCAATTTCACGTAAAACTAATTAACCCATTTTTCTAACAAAATGGTTGATATGACTTTGCTTGTGTTATTAATTTTAAATTGTTATTAAAAAAGGTGGAATAAAAGTCTTATAGGTTTAAACAAGAGATTTCTTAAGCAAATAATTATTTCTTTATATTAGGCAAATGAATAAAGTTTGCTTGTTGAACAATATATAGTAATAATTGTGCTACAACTTAAAATCAATCTAGTTTTTAACCATTACATGTTTAAAAATAAATTATATAATGATATTTTATTTTATGCTATAAATTTTTTATTCGATAATTATATTATTAAATATTGTTTTATAGTTCACTTGTTCAAAAAACTCTGAGGACTTATTGAATACTGCACAATCTATTGAACCTTTAAGCTGGTTTTTTTTAAAAAAAAAATGTTTGTAAATATAAATTCAGACATTACAAGAGTTAAATTTATATTATATATACTTATATATACTTTATATAAGATAGCTTAACCCTCGAAATAAGGATTGGCATTCAGCAACTCCAACCTGGCTGCTGACCTTAAAAGTGTTTGAGATTGCTGATTATTTTGATTAAAAAAATTAGCTTAAAAGTTAATTTTGTATTGTGTATACATACATATTTGTAACTTTTCATAATTTTGTAAAATAAATCAATATGTAAACTTTTTTTCAGAAACTGATATTTTAAAACAAACAATTATTTACTTACATTTATTTTCCATAAACTGATGTAAGATGCATGATTTTCCAACACCAGCACTACCAATAATAAGATACTTGAATAGATAATCTAGCAAAAATGTATAAAAAAATTAACCTTTGTGAAAAAAAAATTGCAAAAACAGTTCTTTGCTATTGCCAAGAAATTCAAAATGTTTTTTTTTATTTCCAAGTGTTTCCCAATACTTAAAAATTAAAAATACTAATTTTCTTTTTATTATTAAAACCAAATGCTTTAATCTTATATTAATATAACAATTTTTTACTTTTTTTTAACATCTTTACTTCCAACAAGGCTGCAAGCAACCACTATTAGAGTTGGATGTTACTAGAAGAGAAAAGATAAAGTTTACAGGGATATCGAGGAGATATCGAGTTTATAGAGATATAAAGATAACAATTAATAGACAACTTAAAAGCAAATTATACAAATCAAAAAAACAAGATGAAGTAAGCAAATTCCAGAGAAATGAAGTTTGAGGAAAAAAACTAGATAAATAAGAATTTTTGAAGCCTTTAGGAACAGTCACAGTAAAAGGATTAGACTTAATTGAATGACGAGTAACACAAGAATGAATTTGTCCCCTCCAAGCAACCAGAGAGTGTTGGCTTCTTATCACAACGTGTGGAAGAGTCTAGGTAGGAAATTACTTTGGATACATAAGCTGGAGTAATATAAATGTCAAGCAATAGACCAACCTGTTTGTTGGCTATATCAGGTTAAACGCGACTAGTGGAATCAAGAGATGATATTGATGAGAAGTTCTTAGCAAACAATTCAACCTTGTCTTTTGGCAAGGTGACAAATTCTGAACCATACAAGAGAGGTGGGATGACAGATTTGCCCTTATTATAGATACTGTCAAAGATCCATAGAAGTTTAATTTTTGAGATGAAATATGATATTTTGTGACCTGAGAATAGCAAGCTTTGGTGTTAGACAAAACCTTTTTACAATGGTTTCTAGCAATAGTAAACAGACATCTATTTTCTGTTTTGCTGATAGATATGGAAGTAATGGTTTCGATTGGAAATTGCAGCAGCACAATTTGATGAAAACCATGGAGAAGAGTGAGACTTGACTTGGAATCATCGAGAAGGAATAAAAGATTCCATGCCAGCCTGAATCAAAGAAGTTATGTAAGAAGCACATTTGTCGACGAATAACTTCAACGAAAGACAAACAACGAAAATTACAGAAAGTCCCAGTCAGTTTTAAGGTAATTGTAAGAGGTATGATAGGGGTATTTTGGTCTCAGTTTGAATGTGGAGAAACTGAGCACTGATCAGAAACAAGACATTGAATCAGAAACAAGACATAAGTCCAGAAGAGAAGGTAAATGATTCGGATTGTCTGGAAAGCGAGTTGGAAAGTTGACTATTTGGGTTAGAGATTCAGAAAGGTATATTTGTTATTTTTAAAGTCATTAAAAATAACAATATTGGCTGAAGGATAAAGAGAAAAGGCTTGGTCAATTTGATCAGAAATAACATCGAAAAAAGTGCAGTCTTTAGATGATCGAGAGAGAGCAATATAGAACAAAGAGTCGATAGAATAAAGTTGTACTAAGGAAGATAACTATCAACACTAAGATCACAATATGAGACATCTGAGCTCAAATTAGTTTCACAAAGAGCAAGTAGGTCTGGTGAACTTGGCAAAAGATAAGACTCAACAGAAGTTACTTCGAAGACCATGAATATTAGTGAATAATAGATTTAGAGAACTTGGTGATGACAATAGTTTTTTGTGTTTTATAGTTTTTGCTACTTTAGCAATTATTAAATTCATTAAAAAACTTAACTCAAAGCACAGATAGTACTCAGTATTGAGCAATAGTACTGTTTAATAGTCCAAGCAATTGCCTAATTACTATTAATAAACCTCAAGCCTAACAAAGGGACCCTGTTGCCTCAACAAAGCATACTAAAAGTACAAATAGGGACACCAATCCATGCGCAACATGGCACTGTTTGTACTCTGATATTTTACAGCTGTTGATGGAATCAACCTCTCTGAGAGCTACCACAGAGTTCTGGAAACCTGGCAACCAACCGGCCTCAGAACCATAAAACTGAGTTTTAGAGCTGTACCCTCATTAGGAGATAATAGAATAAGTTGCCTAGTCATAAAAACAGAGACACAAGCAAAACCCATGCATTAAGTCAAGAAATTCTAGCATTCAACATCCTAAACTGGAAACAACATATTAAAAATACATCAACGCCAGCCCAATAGCTGAAGAAGGGGTGTGCAGCTGGTCAATAGATAGAATCTGTTTTTAATCCCTTTTAACTTACTCTTTCATTTGCTTTTTGGTTTATTTTTCTTTAATATACCGGGAATGATGGTGAACGCTTTGAAAAGCTAAGTTATTGCAAAACTATTAGCCTTGATGCGATGATACTTTGTCAGTATGTTTAAGTTAACATAATGATTTATTGTCTTCATGAAGTTTAGTTTGCAAGTAGAAATATTTGAAATAAAAATTCAAATAAGAAGTTCATAAATTTGTCATCTGGTCACATGACCGGGACAAGATGACTTATTATGTGATTTCTGCCTCCTATTTTATAAAATTTTATAAACTAAAAACTACTCAAACTATTTCTGAAAAAGTTACACGTTAATTTTTTTTTAAAATGCAAAAAGTAAACATATGTATATAAAATTGTGTTGATATTTAAAAAAATAAATTGTTATTTTAAAGTACTAGATGTTAATACAGTTTTATTTTCACCTACTTTAAAGTTTTTTTGTTGAGTCATTATATGAAAAGCCATCTTCCCCCATTCGCCATTTTGTCTGTTTTCTCTTACTACCATAATATTTTTACAATAAGCAGATTTCTAATTAATCACAAAAGCATTGGTTTTAAAGTAATCAAATTTAATTGCTTTTTTAAGAAAAACAATTCTATTTACAAAGCAAAAAGTGTTTGTTTACATTTATTTGTCGCTTATTCCTGTTTTATTTTTTTCTTATATATCTTTCTTACTTGTTTATTTTTTTTTTTACATTATGAACAAAACAACTCAAAAATTTTTTTTTGCGCTGTTGACCTTTTTATATTGCATTGCATGATGACTTTCTGTGGGGTGTGGCAAAAAGGACAGGCAGCCGATCTTAAATTTGATCTCACTTCTGTAAGGTTTAGGGCTTGCAGAAAAAAAAAAGTTATTTACTGCAAACAACTACAGCAATACTTTTGACATTCTTATATTAAAATATGGCAACTCTCTCACTGAGTCCCTTATTTACATTTTCTTGGATTATCATTCACTTCTGATCTTTCATTGGAACCATATATACAATCAATTGCAAATTTAGCATCTGCTAACTTTGCAATCGATTTACTTACACTTGATTCCATTCACAAAAAGTCTTCTCTTTTCAATCACTTAGAACAGGCAGCCGATCTTTAATTAGATCTCATTTTTGTAACAGATTGGGCATAGTGAATTTTAATTCCAACAAAACTAAGTAATTTACTGAAAACAACTATCGTAACACTGTCAATCTCTAATATTAATGAATGGCAACCCTCTCACTGAGTCTTCCTTTTTACGCCTTCTTAGATTATTGTTCACTACTGACCTCTCATGGAAACCATATTTACAACCAACTGCTTATCTGTTCAATCATTTGTCCATCATTGCCAAGTCAGCAACTAGTAAGGTTGCTTTTCTTTATCGTGCTTACCATTTTCTTACTTCTGATTCCATTCTCTACCTCTACTAATTTCTTTTTTGCCCCTGTATAGAATACTGTTGTCATATTTGTGTTAGTTATTCTAATGATGCTCTTTCTCTTCTAGACAAGGTTCAAAAACACACTGTAAACTTAGTTGGACCTGTTTTATCTGCCATGAATAAACCACTCTCCCATAATCATAAGGTTGCATCTCTATCTTTTTACTACAAGTACTCAAGGTTGCTGCTTTAAGTCTCTACTATCTATTTTACTAATCTTTATGCTATTTCTGTTTCCATCACCCTTAACTCATTCTTGTTTGACTCTATTCAGCAAAGTTACATGCTTTTACTGTATCTGTCCCTGAATATTCTAAAAACTTTTGTCTTTTTTATTTCTAGTTTCAGTTTTTATGACAAGTAAAATTACAACAACATACTTCAGAGAGAATCCTATCACCAATATGTAGAAAAACTCGAGAAAAATTATTAAAACAAGATGAGAAACAACGCAAAAAGCTTTAAAGTTGACAAAAATTGATTTTGTTTTGTAAAGTAATGTACATTTAAAACAGCTTATCTTAGTTATAGTTAGATTCTTATTCTTATCCTGAACTAGTCTTATACACACTTTTATATACACACATTTATATACACACTTTTAAATAGCAAAAAAAAAAAAAAAAAAAAAAAATTCAAAATAACCTTACTGAGATTAAAAAAATTATGATAATTAAAAAAACAATAACAAAATTTTATAGAAAAGAGTCATAATAAAAACTGTTTTTAAACACTAAAAGAAAAAATATCACAAGTGATTTGATGATATCAATAATAAATTTAATTTCACTTTTGCATTTTGAATAACAATACTTTATTGTTATTCAAGTAATTGATTTTGTTTCATTATAAACTAAATACCTTAGTAGCTTTTTGGAGATAATATACTTCTTGGTTACTCATTACTTTGAAATATTCAAAATAATAATCTTGGATTTCATTACTTAAAAAAGATATTTGTAAATGCTCTTATTTCTAAATTTAGAATATTTGACAACTTTTATAAGCACTGTTACAGAAAGCATTATTAAACATAATCTTATAAAAAACCTGAAAAACTTAATTTATATGAATTTATATCAAAATGAGGTAAGCATTAAATAAAAAAGCAAACGTACTTAAACTAGTTTACCATCAATAAAATGACATTTGTATATTGACAAATTAAGCAGATCCTAACTTGGACCTGCTTAATTTTAAATTAAAATTAAAGGGATAGTATATATGGTTTCTATGAGAGACCAGTATAAATAGCAATTAAAAAGATGTAAAGAAGAGTATTTCAGTAAGAGTGTTACCATTCATCAATATAGTAATATAAACAATATTGTCTAATGCACAATAGAATATATATATTATAACAACTTACAAGTCAGCAGCAGAAAAAGAGGGACGAAATATTATTTGTCAGAGAGTAAGTTGTTAGAGGGTAACTCCAAGTCAAATTACCCAGAAATTTTTCAAAATGTCACTCTATATCTCAGATTTTGCTGATTTTTATATAGTTATGAATACTTGAGAAAACAATTGAAAGTCTATTTTCTAAATGTTGTGCCTGGATATCAACTATGTTGGAGCTGTTTTGATGCTATAATTGGTAATTTTAATGAAAAAGATATTTATGCATTTGAGGAAGCTTTTTTAACTTCTGAAAAGAATCACTCACGAGAGGCATTAAATACTAGTCTTGAAATAATAGGTAATCTCCCATAAAACTTCATGGCATTCCAAAGCATCAATGGTTATCTATTGCTAAAACTAAAATTAAAAAAACAATGGAAAAGTGTGAAGAGCATATTTCGAAAGCATAGCGAAGCAGAATTGAAACATAAAATACTTTGTAAATTTTCTGGAATTCCAAGTATTTAACCTAATCAGCTAATTAACATTAATACATTGAAAATTGGTGAATTTATTCTGTGCAAATATGATAAATTTCATTGGATTGGTATAATAAATGAAATTGACAATATTGCGCAAGGTGTTTTGGTTACATTTATGCAACAGCATAGTTCTTTTAACAAACTTTTCTGGCCATCTAGAGCAGATGAGTGTTGGGTTCCAATTACTAACATAGTTTATAATTGTTACATATCATTGATGCACCTGTAACAACAACTGGATGTATGTATACTTTGACCATTGACGCATCTAAACAAATCTTAACACAATTTTGACACTTTATATTTTGGTATTTTGTTGTATATAATTAAATAAAACAGAACAAGTACAAACCAAAAAAATTTTTAAAACAAGATTTTCAAAGATATCTTTATTGAAAAAGTAATTTAAAAAAAAAAATTTTATGAGGAAAAAAGTTGGGGATGGTCTTAGTGGACTATGAACCCTTTGGTTGTCTGCCCTGGAAACAATTTACATACGCGTTCATCAAGACAAATGCTGAAAGTTTTAAATCTCTAGTTTGTCTGAAAGATAGAGGAAAATCACAAACTCCATTACAAAAAAGTGGGACACTTGCCTTAATCCCCTAATGTCTTAAGGTCCTGAAAAAATTTTTTACATGCACATTATTGCCACTATTCACACACATGGGTTTCTTGAGCATTAAAGACAGGTAAATAAAAAACTGCCTAAATATATTTAAATTGATAAAAACAGGTACTTAATAATAATTTTTTACCATCATTTCATTAGATTTGTCACTCCCAAAAATAGCCAGGTACAAATTTTTACGTAAAAAAAAAATTTTTATAAAGTTATGTGGCTTAAAATTTTTTTTTTTTTTTAAAGTTACGTTAAATGTTGCAATTCTGAGGGGACAAGTGGGGTCTTGCCAATATCTGTTAAAACTAAAACAGTCATATTTCAGGATTTTCTTGGAGCCAGAAGCTAAAAGTTTCAAAGAATTCTTATTTTACTAAGTACTTTTAACTGCATAAAAATCAGCAAAATCTGAAATGTATGATGACATGACCTGGAATAACCCTTAATTAAAGCACTAACAGAGATACCTTCTGTACACAACATGTTAATACAGTTAATACTCTAATATTTTATAGCTGTTAATAAAATCAGTATCACTTAGAGCTACATCAGAGTTTATGAAACTATACTACATAATTTCTTCTAATGCATATATTTGCTGCGAAACAATTGTAAATAAAAATCAAGTTATAAAAAATTAATATTCAGTATAATTAACAAAAAAGATATTTACAGCAGTTATCAATTCATATAATTTATCAGTAATATTAATAATATACCTTTTACTATAATTCTGCATTAAAAGAAAAATTTTAGTACAAATAACTAATTTTTCATGAGACTTTTTACAGATAATCTTTTAAAAAATTTTCTGTTGATACATGGGATAATTTGTTGCAGAATGATAAGATGTTGCAGAATGTTGCAGAATGATATTTTTAGAATTAATGTTATTGATTTAAATAGAAACAAATTCTTCATCATAATCAGATTTGCATAGGTTATTTTCTAACTTATACTGAAAACTATCTTTGATATAAATTACAACACCCTAATATTTATTATTATTTACTTTATATATTATTTAATCATTTAAAAAATATTATTCCGACTGTTTGCAGATATAACTATAAGAAACAAAAACCATTTCTGCAAAAGTAATATTACTTAATTGAAAAAAAGTTGTGATTTTAGAAAAGGCAGGAAGTGTGACCATAAACCTAGAATAGGAATCATCCTAGTAATTTGCAAAACTTTCTGTTTTTTATATGAAAAACTTTTATGACAATTAAATTTAAAAAAAGAATTACAATGGTCTCAGTTTTCAGAAATTTTTAACTAATAACAAAATACATGCTAATTGAATAACTTATTATGGGCTACTTTTGTATAATAGGGGGTTGTTAGATGTTTTTATGTCTAAATCTAGCTTTATATAAAGTTGTAACAATAATACTATTATTATAGTGTTATTTAATCTAGTTAGTCAAGTAATATAAACAAAATTATACCGTAAGTTTCACTCATTTTCTTTCCTTTAAATTTTTATTAAATCTTTTTAGTTTTCAAAATTTACATCTAAAATACTATAACAATTTTAATAGAACATTAATATAATACAAATAAGAAAAAAAAAATTTAACTACTAAATTTAAAATAGTTTTACAAATTATTTATTTTTTAAAATATGAAAAGTAGTATTTTATTATGTTCAATAAATAACACACTATGTACATAAATGTATATCACTTATAAGTTTTTTTATATGTTATATATATATATATATATATATATTTATATATATATATATATATATATATATATATATATATATATATATATATATATATATATAATATATATATATATATATATAATATATATATATATATAAAATTTATATAATATATATATATATATATATATATATATATATATATATATATATATATATATATATAATATATATATATATATAAAATTTATATAATATATATATATATATATATATATATACATATATAAAATATATATATATAAAATTTATATAATATATATATATATATATGTATATATATATATATATATATATATATATATATATATATATATATATATATATATATATATACATATATATATATATATATATATATATATATATATATATATATATATATATATATATATATATATATATATATATATATATATATATATATATATATATATATCAGTGTGTGTGCGAATACAAATTGTACATCACAAAACTTTAGATTTAGTTATTGGTTTATGATGTTGAGATTTGTGAAACAAATTAAACTAAAAAGTAAATTTTACACTTATATTACGTTTTATATAGTAAACTCAAAATAAATAAAAGTCCCATCGTCAAAGTTATTTATTAGATAGTAGGAAATTTTTCTAAACTAACTTTTTATATCTTTCCGAGAAGAGCTTGACAAAACCGGTTATTTTATCTTAATGATGACAAGTTTGCAGAAAAAATCGCATCAACTTTCAGAGTCCGGTGTCGTGTTAAAATAGGACCTGTCGAATTTAGACATGATTCAAATTAATAATGATACAATAATAATAATCAAATTAATAAATATTATAACATTATTAAAAAAAAATACACGCCTTTAATAATATTCACGTTATTCACGTACCGTAAATTGGGGCTATTTGGAAAGAAATATAAATATAAGTTAAGATAACTTAAGATGTTTTATGTAAACTAAAATTGCAAAATGCAGTTATTTTGGATAGAACTGAGTTCAAGCTACAATTTTGTTAAATATTTGACAAACTGGACTTAATAATTAAGGAGTGAAGTCATTTTTTGTCGCCTTTCCGAATAACCCCGGGGCAATTTGGAAACGTAGAACTATATAAATTGTTTTTAATCAAAATATCTATATTTTTAACAAAATAATCTAAGAATGATATAAAATTGTGCCATAATGAAGTTTGCGAATATTTTCCATATAATTATACTCATATAGTTCCAGTTAATATAACATAAACAAACAAAAACCCTAAATCAAAACAAAGTATATTTAAAACAACCAAAAAATTGTGACAACTGAAGGTTTAGTTTAAAATTGAAATTCTTTTTTTTTTTTTAAATCTTTCATCTTCTTTATCAAACAAATAAATAAAAATAGAAAACGTATCTATTTTCAATTAGATAAGCTTGTTTAACTGTCATATCTTTTCTTATAAAATCACTGTCCTTCTTTTGGCAAAAAAATTTTTATTTCTTTTCCACTATGATTTTCCTTAAAAAAAAATTGTCCCAATAGATGCTACATTCAAAATATTCAATGATAACAGTAGAGTGCGGTTTTGGTAATAACTTTTTAAAATTACAGTTTCATCTGATAATCTTGGTAAGAATGATGATAATCTTGCTCTTTTATTTGATGGTGCAAAAAATTCTTCAGTTATCTCATTTATAATGTCAAAGGAAGCAGTTAACTTTTTCTAAGGATCTTTTTTATATAAAGTTTGGTTTTTCTTTAATTTTCACCTTCTTCAGACTAACAGGAGATATTTGAAACAAGATATTCATAGCACTAACTCATTTTCCTGGTGATAAATAGCATCATTTATGTCTGGGAATTTTTTGAGAATTTTTTTTGCATATGTCATGTCGCATATCTTTTAGCATATTGAATGTATTGAGTTCCACTGTTTGGCTGTCGATACTTGAATGTGGTAATCTTGACTTTAAACGGTCTTTGTTCAAAAAATATATGCCACATTTTTTGAAAGCAGAAAATCATGTTTTAGTTGGAGATTTGCTTGTGCCATTTTTTTTCCATTAACTGAGACAAAAGATGTGAAAAAACAGATTTTAGTAAAGTTTTTTTGTTTCCTTCCATCATGTGTTTTTCACTCAGTAAGTATCAACCTCTAATAATACCCGAATATAATGCAACCTTCTTTTTTAAAGAAATGCTTAACGCTTGTAACTGACGGGTTGTTATATATTTTTATTAAAAGGTCTTTAAAGTATTACTGTTTCTTTATTCATTTTTAGAAACAAAGTTAATCTAGTAGTTTTTTCAAATTAAAAAAATGTAGTTGTTTTACTCGCTTTAAGTATTAACTCAATACGAATAAATACAACCCCTATTACTTTTATTTTTTTTAATAAAAATATTATAGTTTAATAAAAATATTATAGTTTAATAAAAATATTATAGTTTAATAAAAATATTATAGTTTAATAAAAATATTATAGTTTAATAAAAATATTATAGTTTAATAAAAATATTATAGTTTAATAAAAATATTATAGCTTAATAAATATATTACAATTTAATAAAAATATTATAGTTTAATAAAAATATTATAATTTAATAAAAAATATTATAGTTTAATAAAAATATTATAGTTTAATAAAAATATTATAGTTTAATAAAAATATTATAGTTTAATAAAAATATTATAGTTTAATAAAAATATTATAGTTTAATAAAAATATTATAGTTTAATAAAAATATTATAGTCTAATAAAAACATTAAAAACATAACTACTTAATCTAAAGAATATTTATACAAAAATTAGTTTAAGCAAAAAAATAATTATTTCCAAATAGCCTCACATCTATTCCTTTTACCTCACGATTAACCATACAATTGTCAAAAACCCTGTCTTCAGGGTCATCTACTCGTTTTGATATACCTGTATCAACATTTTTTGCTTCTAGCCCTTTTTCTAGTAAAATATTTTTGGGCTCTGTAGCAGATATTAATGGAGCATATTGCATGGGTTCTTGGCTAGTTTTTATAAGCAATGAGATTGGCACATCATAGTATGGGAGTGTGCTGTCCATCAAGGAAAGCTTTTATACTAAGATTGGTAATAAAGGATTCAAATCTTAAAGGTGTTACTTACATTGTAGAAAGAGTACTTATGGAGAAGACCAGCATGCAAAACTTTATCGATATGTCAATAGCTATACCCTTAACCTTTCCACATCTATCTAACGCACAATATAACTTATCAGTTGTTACCGTTAACAGATCAGCACTAAAACAAGGAGATCGAAAACCATGATTAAAAAAATCCATTAGATTTAAGATAAGAGATTATGTATTTGTTAATTAAAGATTCAAAAAATTTGCTTATGATAGGAAAAAGACTAATGGGATGGTAGTAGGACAAGTCAGATCGCTCTCCAGGTTTTTTGAAAAAAGAGATAACAGATGCTCTTTTCCAGCAGTCTGAAAAAAAAGACTCTGATAAGCGCATATTAAGTAGTTTTGAAAGTATAAACAACAGCTCCGGAAAAAAATATTTCTGCAAGACTTTAACAGCTATGTTGTCCTGACCACAAGCTGTAGAAGAGCCTTAGCAGGAAATCACTTTAGATACTGAAGCTGAAATAATACAAATGTCAAGCGATGGATCAACCTGCTTTTCGGCTATATTATCTATACCATGCAAGAAAGCAGGAACAACAGATATGCTCTTATTATAGATACTTATAAAGATTCTTCAGATGTTTCGGGAGCCTAATTTGTGAGATGAAATACAAGATTTTGTAACCTGAGAATAGCGGGCTTCAGCGTGAGAAAAAACCTTTTTTACAATAGCTACTAGCAAAAGTAAACAGACGTCTGTTTTCTGGAGAATTGTTCGGGCAATAAATTTAATGGTTACAATTGGAAATTGCAACAGTATAATTAGAGCAAAACCATGGTGAAGAGTGTGTTTTGACTTGGGTTAGTCGAGAGCGGACAAAAGATTCCATGCCAGCCTGAATCCAAGAAAATACACGTTTTTTAGCAAAGAAAAAAGATTTCTATCCAAGAGCCATAACAAAGAAAATCAAGGAAAGAATTCCATGCAGCTTTAAGGTAGTTAAGAGGTACGGTGATATGGGGATTCTGAAAATAAAGAAGAATGAGATAATAGTTTTAGAGAGACCAAACCGTGATCAAAAGCACCTGAGGGTGTATGAAGAGAAACTGAGCTATGATCACAAACAAAACATAAGTCCAGTAGAGAAGGTAAATGATTCTGACTATCTTAAAAGAGTTTTGAAAAGTTGAATATTTGTGTTAGAGATTTAAAAAGACAATAATTGAGGGTCTTAATACCTGCAGAGTCATTGACACTACAACCAAGTTATTCAGCGTGATGAGCATTAACGTTGCAAACAACAACGGTATTGGCTGAAGGATAAAGAGAAAGGGTTCTGTCAATTTGATCAGAAATAACATCGAAAAGACCGCAGTCTTGAGATGAAGAAGAGCAATATAGAACAAAGAGAAAAGTGATTAAGTGAAGTAGTGTTAAACGAAAGCACATAAAAGAACAGTCTGTGGATTCAAACCTTGACTATTGGAGTTTTTCTTTACGAATTAAAAGAAGGTAACCAACAACACTAAGATCACAAGATGAAACAACTAAATTCAAAGAAGTCTCACAAAGAGCAAGTAGATTTTTTTTTTTTTTTTTTTTTAATTCACCTCCTCAAGGCCAAGAAGGCCACTACAGACGAGGAGGCTACTTATTTTGTGGCTATAACCCTCTCTCAACTCTATAACTCCGAAACACGAACCTTGGCGAACTAGGCCGCTGCGCGGA